TATGCTTTATCATCAAATAGTTATGTACCACAACTTTGCCTCTTTTAAGTGGCACATTTTTATTGTCCACTGCATTTTCCCTACAGAACTAAAGGATCTGCAGATTCCAGCTTGATAAACTCTCCTATATCAAGATCAGAGAATAAAATAATCTCCCAATGGTCATTACCACAAGCTTCCCTAGAAAGTTCTACTACCCTTCAACGCAACATGTTAAAGGCATATCATACAGCAAAGGAAACTTTAATACATCTTATTTTAAAACATGAAACCCATGGGAAATTCACCACTGTAACTAGAAATGAGCTAAAATCTCTTGGAGCTTTTTCTGGAAAAATCTATATTGTTTCTATAAGTAATAACAGATTGCCTTATTTTTCCCTCCAAGAAGTTAACTTGCTACAGATTTGTATCCAGACAGTTTCCTTTTGACTAATGTCCAATATTTAAAGTTTTTTATTTTAACTGAAAGAACTCTTTGAATAAGAACAATGTTACAAAATAATAGTTCTAAAAGTAAATGTTACAAACAAAAGGGGAGAACAGATACACTGTTTTGAATATAGCCATGATCAAAAGTAGTAGAAAATGTCTAGGAAAAAAGTGTAAGCACCCTATTGGAAAACTTCTTGATACAGAAAGAATTATTTGCTCTGGGAGATCCAGCAGAATTCCATTTTCATAATACTTGATTTTAAAAAATACAAGACCCAGATTCTCTTAGATCTGGTATCTAGAACCACCATAATCTAATATTACCACAAAAGCAATTTTTTATTGCCCTAGTTTTATTCTAGCTTAAGAAAAAAATATATAAATATATCTTTTAATCCTCGCCTGAGGATATTTTTTCCATTGCTTTTCAGAGAGAGTGGAAGGGGGAGGGAGGGAGGGAGGCAGGGAGGGAGACATCGATGTGAGAGAGACACTGATTGGTTGCCTGCTGCATGCGCCCAGACCGGAGCTGGGATCGAGCCTGCAACCGGGATACGTGCCCTTGACCAGAATCGAACCCAAGACCCTTCAGTCCACAGGCCAATGCTTTAACCACTGAGCCAAACTGGCTAGGGCTAAGAAAATATTTTTAACCATCAAGTACATTTTATTTTTAAAGCACTTTCATGTAGATTATATTACAAGTTTTTGCCAGGTAAATAAAGTAAATAAAGATGAACTCATTAAAAATATCACTTATTGTTCTCCTACACATCAATAACCAAGTAGAAAAATTTTTAAATAAAATAAAATCACCATAGCAATAAAAAACTAAAGCATCTAAGAACTAATATAACAAATGCACGCACAATATCTTTATAGAAAAAATTAAAGCTTTAATAAAGTTATTACAATTGGATATTCATATAATAAAAAAAAGAAATCTTGATCCCTACCTCAGACTCTACAGACATATACACAATGGATTGCAAATCTAAATGTGAAAGGCAAAATAATAAAGCTTCTAGAATAAGACAGAGAATTTCTTCATAACCTAGGTAAAGATTTTTTAAAGAGGGCATAAAGTATACTATTCATTAGGGAGGGAAAAGAAATTGGACCAAATTAAAATTTAAAATCCCTGCTCATTAAAAGCCACCATTAAAAGAGTGAAAAGCAATCCACAGACCAAAGATAATTACAATACATATATCTGATAAAGGATTCATATCTAGTGTAAAAAAGTCCTATAGATGGAGACAAGAGAATCCAACAAAAAAATTAGCAAAAGACTTAAACAGGAACTTCATGAAAGAATATATCTAAATGGTCAATAAACTTACAAAAAGGTGCTCAATTTCATTAACACCAGGGACATGCAAACTAAAATCACAATGTGATACCACTATACACCCATCATAATGGCTAAAAAGCAAAAGATTTTAAAAAAAGCAAGTGTTGGCAAGGATGTGGAACAACTGGAACTTTCAAATGCTGCTAGTGAGATGGTAAATTGATACAACTGTTTTGGAAAACTATTTGGTAGTATCTACTTAAAGCTGACTATAGACAAACTGAAGCTGAAAATAGGCAAACTCTACAACTGAGCACTTCTAGTCACATACCCAACAGAAAGGCATACATTTGCTCACCAAAGAACAAATTCTTAGTAGCCCAAGACTGGAAACAACCCAGATACCCATCAACAGTAGAATGGGTAAATTGTGGTATATTCATATAACGGGATTATGCACAGCAATGAGAGTAAACAAACTCAACTACATACAAAAGAATGGATGACTCTCACAAAGACAATGTTGAGTAAATGAAGCCAGACTCGAGTATATTCTGCATGTATTTAACTTCATAAAGTTCAAAAATAAGCTAAATCAGGAGTTATTGCAAAAAAGGTAGGGGAAGGGATAGATGGTGACTGGAAGGGCAAGCAAGGGTGTCTTCTAGGGTTCTGATGTTTTTTGATGTGGGTGCTGCTTACTTACGTGGGTTTACTTTGTGAAAATTAGTCAGTGTGTACATTTACAATTTGTGCATTTCATGTATTGTGTATCAATTAAAAGTTCAGATGAGAAAAAATAAGGAAAACATACTGGATTCTAGAACTCAAAAGAAGCATATATACTACAACAGGTAAATAAAAAATTTTAATTTAAAAAATTCATTAAAGGGGATATAAATGATGACTTAAAACACTGGTGAGATATTGTTATTGATGGGATAATTTAACATTAAGACAACCATCCTCCCTAAACATGTAATTTAATGTAATTCCATTAGGATTTTTTGTATTCTAAAATATGTACTGAACAATAAACGTGTATAAATAGTTAAGACAATTTTGAAAAATAGAAGTATAGGGGAATCCTTATCAAATTATGACATGCTACACACAGTAAGAACAACAATGTGTTTCTGGAGCAGGAGTAGACAGACTAATGGGATACTACAGAAACAGACCTATTTACATATGAGAAGTTGAAAAAGAATGACCTGCTTAATAAATAATTGTTGGGAAAACTAGCTCACACAAAGAATAATAACTGAGGTGGCTAAAAAGATAAACGCCACATGGCTGAAAACCTAAAAATAAAACTATAAGGCAAACAGAAGAAAATGTAGAAAATATCTTCGTGAACTTCTAGTAAGATGCACAACAAGATTCAAAACAAGATTCAAAATGCACAAACCATAGAGTGAAAAACTGTTGAACTAAAGAATTTTGTTCAACAAAGTATGATATAAACAAAGTTAATGGATGACAGCCTTGGGAAAAGATATTTGCAATGTCAAAATAGACAAGGGGCTAATCACTAGGATACTCCTGCCCCCTCCAAAAAAAGAGGCAGGAAATCAAATGGAAAACTGGGTAAAGATTATAAATAAGCAATTCACAAAAAGTAGAAACTCAACTGGCTAACAAGTATATGAAGAGATGCTCAAACCTCAATTCGTAAATAATGCAAATTAAAGCAAACCAAAAATACAAAATACCACTTTATAGCCATCACATTGGCAAAGATTTTTAAACATTAGATAATATCAATTGCTGACGAGGATTTGGGGAAAACAGGATTCTTGTGTACTGTCAGGGATAGGGTAAACTTTCAGTGATTCTGAGGAGCAAATCGGCAGTATTTAGCGAAACTAGGTATATGTGTATACCCTATTACCATGCAGTCCACTCTAGAAAACATTTCCCAGAGAAACACTGCATAGGTCCCAAAGAGGATGAATGAGGACATTCATCATATAATCAGTTGGAAGTTAGATGCAACCAACGAGTTTACCACTAGGAGAATGGTCTGTAAACATGGTAGAGCCATACCATGGATTATGCTACCATTAAGTAAAAGCAATAAAAAACACATAAATACAGCTATAAAGATAGAGCTATGAAATCACCATTGAAAGAAAATCAAGAAAAAGAATGAGCTCTATGATACAATACTATACTGAAATTAAAAAGCAAAATTAAACAAATTTTTTTTTAGAGAGAGAGGAAGGGAGAGGGAGAGGAAGAGGGGGAGGGGGAGGAGGAGGGGGAGAGGGAAACATTAACATGAGAGAAACACATTGATTGGTTGCCTCCTGCATATGTCCTGACCGGGGCTGGGGATCAAACCTGCAACCCAGGTACCTGCCCTTGACTGGGAATCAAACCAGAGACACTTTGGTGCGTAGGCCAACTCTCTAACCACTAAGCCATACCGGCCAGGGCAAAAAACAAGCAAATATTTAAAAAGCACACATACCAAGCAACATTGTATAATTATAAAGACATATATATAGAGAGAGAGAGAGAGGAAGATACACCAAATACATTGGTGGGTGGCCAAGGGTGTGTGAGGTTGGGAGGGAGTGGGAGGAATCGCCATGAAGGGACAAAGAAGTAAAATAAAATGAGAGAGGTCTTGCATAGCCCATTGATATTGTGCTATGAACAGATTAGAAATTTTGAGTAATTCAACTCCCGGTACTTGAGGTCTCCCTTTAAAAAAAAGCTCACCCTTCTTATGATAAAGAAACCAAGTTACAATAATATAAATTAACCTGCAAAATGATGGAAGTGCTCCTTCAAACTTCTATTGATGCCCGGCCGGGCGTGGCTCAGCGGTTGAGTGTCGACCTGGGATCCAGGCGATCGGGGTTCAATTCCCGGTCAGGGCACATGCCCGGGTTGCGGGCTCGATCAATGACTCTCTCATCATTGATGTTTCTATCTCTCTCTCCCTCTCCTTTCCTCTCTCTGAAATCAATAAAGATATATTTAAAAAAAAACAAAAATAAATAAAATTAAAAAAACTTCTATTGATAACTCTAACCTGCTCTAGTCGTATCTGAAGAGAGACTTGATTTCATACAGATTTCAAGCTTCTAAACACCCATATACCTGGAAAGATAAGTTGTATATCCTTCCATGTAAGTCCTTGGGATTCATTCAGGTTGCAGTTTAAGTTTCCTTTCAATCAATCCAAGAAGTATCAGTGTGACCAAGCAAAGCGGGTTCCAAAGGCAGGAAGCAGAAGCAAATGATGCTATGGAAGTACCTTTCTGAACAGTCCCTTCTGCTGCTGTAGAGCCTCGGGGCAACCCTTCAATGTAGGTGGTCACCAACAAGTCTGCTGAGATAGGCTGACCTTGCAGCTTTTTCAGTCTCTCTTGTACAGCACTGGTCAGGTCTACATAAGCTTCATCAATGCTGGCACGTTCAATCACAGCAAAACGTGACATTACCTCCATCACTTCCACACTGGCTTCCCGGTACCTAAGAAGTATAAGGATTATACATGTAGGCAATAAATGGAGGCCCCATACCTCCCTTGTAATAGAATAATAATATCCATGATCAGTGTAAGATCTCCCTAAAGAGAGGAATGGCTTGTCAGAGACTAGATAGTAACTCAGTTAAAGGGGTCAGTAAGTAGGAAAATGGTCAATAACAAAAGCAAGGAAAAAGAACCATGGAGGCAATATTTGCAGTGCAACCCTGGCGCACCAAGGTAGAAAGCATCCAGACCATGAACATGTCTATGTGACAAAGATCTCTCTAAAGAGGAAAGAAATACTTCAAACTAGTTTAACTAGAAAACATTTTCCTATTCCTTTTATTTTCATATACCCACTGTAGTATTCTGCTTCTACTTTTGTCTTCAAATAAGAGGTAACTTATAGAGAACAGTGCACTGATTAGTGAACCTAAGTATCTTGTTTTCCTCAGGTTGGTATTTCTCATTATAAATTAACAAAGTGATGGGTATTTTATACTCCAGTCAATGGTGAGTTTGATTAACATGAGCTGGTCCTCGCTACACATACACACCCTCAACCAATCAAGGTCAAGCACTTCTGAATATATTAACGTTCAAATTATTGAGTTGAAGATAAGCTTCTAGAATGTGGTAATGCGCCTGGACAGGCAGACAGCCTCCCCTAAGGGATACCAATCTCCTCATATACAGTCTATTCAAACCATAACAAGCAGCTCTTCTGGCTGTATGTAGCTAGTTTTCTATGGCAATATGTGGATGTTTTGTTTTGGACTTGCTATAGAATTTAAACAAGTTCTTTGTTCCTGTTGAACCTATTTTATTTATCATAAAAACGGAAATGTTTGCACACTTCACTAAGACATCTATCAAAACTAGTATAATTATTGTTCTAAAATATTCTCAAATGAGAGAATTAGAGAAAGAATTAGAAAAAGAAAGAATTAAAGAAAGACAGCTTTTTTTCCTTTTAGTCATTATTTGGGCTGGAGAGAGGATAGTCAGACCTCAAAGAAAAAAAAGAGAGCTCAAGTGTGTGCAAGAGCATGAGAGCACAATACACTCACCCATATAGAGCAAGGAAAGGATACTTCTTTTAAAAAAATCAAAAATTTTATTGAGAGAGAGAGAGAGAGAGAAACATCGATTTGTTATTCCACTTATTTATGCGTTCATTGGTTGATTCTTATATGTGGCCTGACCAGGGATTGTACCACAGCCTTGGTGTATTGGGACGATGCCCTAACCAACTGAGCTATGTGGCCAGGGCAGAGCAAGGAAAGGATACTCTATTGCAACAGTTGTTCTTCACAACCTCTTGAGCAAATTACTCCAAAGTATGTTTAAGAATATTTGATAAACTTAGTGTATTTACATTTCTGGAAATCATATTTTTAGTTTTTATAACCTGGTATCACAGGTTAATTAAAATAATTTTAAATGATCAAATCTTAAAAATTCTCTGGCCTATAAACTTACTCCTAAATTTTCAAAAACTGCCTTTGTTCAAAAAGTTTAAAGTTGGTGGCATGTGACTTTTCAAAATCACACTCTGAAGCCAACTATATTTCTGGGAAGTTACATTGTCTTTACCAGCATAAAATTCTATTCAATGCAATTTAGCATATGTCCATTAGCTGAATTCTAATTTAGGGTTAAGGTATCAAGCTCCAGTCAAATCTGTCTTCTTTTCTGGCGATAACTTCAATGTATGTTTGGCTATGATGCTCCACCTTTAGACTTCCAGTTCACAGGTGAATTCAGGAGTATCTCAAGTCCCAAGTCAAAGCATGATCCCTACACACCACACCACACAGTATAGTGCACTGTGAGAATGTGGATGCTGATAAGAGAAAACAATTGAATCCTCAGTCTTCTTTCTAGCTGTGTGAACTTATTTAACGTCTCTAAACTTGTTTCCTTGTCTGTGTGTGTG